TTGTTCCGCTAACATTATTATTTACTTCTATTTAATGAGTGAAGCAGAAAGCGCACGATGTTGGGCAACGCTGAGAGATACGTCGCACATTTAATTTCATTCGCAACATTGCAAACGTCTTGTTGAATTGAGTTGAATCAACCACCAAGTATGTTTTGCACAGAGCCTCTAACCACTGCGCTATACACGCCTGTTTTACTACGTATTAAAAATAACAAGGCAAAGTGTCCATTATATCCCTTACAAGATTAATTGGCGACGCTGACGAAAAATACCGTACACTCGCTGATCAAGAAGACCTAGTTTGAAAGGCATGATTGGCGGATCATGGGATCGTGCCAGCGAATGTCACTGTGGGGTCCATGTGCAACTGGCACTGAATCGTATTACGATGTGCACTGTCATTATTGCTAAGTAAAACTTTCTTAGAAAACTCCACGATCCACTATCCAACTGTAATCGGAGTTATCCTGAGCTGTCGCTACATAGTCTTCAGGAAGGTGATCATCCTCACTTGTGGATCGACCAGAAGGTTAGCTGCTTAGCTACTAGACAAAGATTCGTATAAGTAAGCAAAAAATGGAAGTGAACAGCTTTTTTGTGAATAAAACAATGCTAGAAGAAGATACGAATATCACGGATGAGGCAACAGTCCTAGACTATCGTCCACAAGCCTTCGGACGTATTTCACTGTCTTTGCAGCAAATACTTTCAGATGCACCGTGTTAAGCGTTGAACCTGGTCACTTCAAGCTATGTAAGCTTAAATCTGGAGATGTGAAGATATTTGCTGGTCCCGTAACGACTGGTTATCGCTCTTTTCGTTTATCCTGTCGGCCAGAAAGCCGTCGGAACATCTGGACGCAATATGTGTGTGCACGGCTGTAAAAGAAACGATCCAGGATTGATTGCATTTCTCACGAATCCTCGAAGCCTGCAAGTTTCTTGACAAACTTATGGGAATGCCAAACGGAGACGCCCATTCTGATATCTTAGCTGGAAGCTTCAGCGAATTTTTTCCTTGAAAAATTCCTTCGCAAAAGTCATAGAATGTCGGCTTCTTCTATTATCTCACTAGTAAAAGAAGTTTGTAAAATTTTAAGTTCATGTGTTCTGCAATGCTAAATTGCTAGTTTAATCATTGAGGGCTACCTTCGTGTGTTTTAATTTTTTTCACCTTTTGAGGACAATTCGAGGAAAACTGAAGGAAAATAAAGCAAACTTGGTGCAGATCATCCAGCAAACTTGGGAAATAATTCCACTTAAGAGACGAAACACTTTCTGATTATTTCATTATATTATTAATCTGAATTTGCTTAATTAACCACCTAGATCGTACTTCACTGAATCGCTATAACCTTTCGTGTAAACGTGGAACAGAGGAAAACGCACCTGCTAAGCTTATCCGTTAATATCTTTGGGAAAATCATGACAGCACCTAAGGTATTACCATATCATTGATTTATTCGTAAGAAAAACAATTTCCTTACCTAGATAGATCTATCAGATTGGCATTCGAAGGTGACCGATTACTGGGCAATAACTGGATGAAATTCATTCGGATAGTGGAAAAATTCGTCCATATCTCTGTGACCTATTCGTCGGGATAGTTCCATAGCGACGGTGTTCCTAGTTGATTGGAAATGACAACCGCTAATACTATCGATTAAAAAAGTCGATGTCCCAATTTGGTGATAATCGACCCAAACATCCAATGAAAGTCATAAAATTTATTCAAATCTGTGACAGTTGCCCACTACGACTACGTGACAATTAACTACAGTAATCCTCACGGAAAAGAGATGAAGGCGACACGGACTAATGCAGAGTTAAGGCACGACCTGAACAAGTAAATAATGCAACTACATAGAATTTCTGAAGATCTAGTAACAAATTCGTAACGTATGAATATAAAGGCATAAAAAAATATGACTGAAATTAATTAGAAAACTTCTTTTAAGAGAACAAATTGCGAGAAACAACAAAAAATGTTCTTTGGTTGTGATTATCAAATATCATCAGTCATTGCTGCCATTGTTGCAATTCTCCGGGGTTCATACCAGTTTCCATATAATCTGCAAAGAGGATTTCATTAAAATGTGAAAAATTCGAAGTTAGTACAACAAAAAGATAAAGGATAAGGATCTCGGCATTGATCTATCTCTGAGCGATGTGCCATGCATTAGACTTCATTTAGCAACGTTCGAGGTGAATGAATGCATATTTGGCCCTAACAATGACTCGCGGTGGCCTACAGATGTATCGAGCCAGTACTGCTATCCTCTCAGACAGGCCTGGTACCAATATGCCGACCCCGGAGGAAAGAAGGCTTAGTGAGCCACGGGCGTGGGGATCGATCCAAGTGGGTGTCGCAGGGCGCCTCCGACTGCTGCACCCCACACACTCCTATGAGTACAATAAATCTTAAAGAAGTGCACAAATATAAATGTCATAATGTCTCCAATAGATGAAAACCCAGGCAAAAATGACACGTTGTTGGTGAGAAGGGAAAAATCTTAAAATCGAACTCCAACTTTTTCAGACCGCTTTTCTATGATGGAAGGTATCGTGAATCAATAAGCGTCGATAGAAGCGCAATTATTGTAAATAGAACAGAGAAAAGAAATACAAAGTAAAAGAGCGAAAATATGATCTTACGAATTGATCTTGTTCAGCTGATGCGACGTTGGTATAAGTTTCCTTGTCATCGTTGTTGTTGTTGTTGCTGTTGTCGATGTCGTTGTTGTTGAGTCCCACTCGTAACACCACGGCTTTGAGGAAGGCAAAATCGCCAAAACGTCAGCCATCGACCAACAACACCAACAACAACGACGACGATGATGACAGCAATAATAATGACAACGGAAACTTATGCCAACCTCGCATCATCTCAAGAAGATCAGTTCATAAGAGCGTGTAAATAGACATATCAACTATTTATGCTGAATTTTATGGAAAGTCGGTCTTCTGAATTATTGAGGGTGCGAAGACAGTTGAACATTTAAAAAGGCGAAGAAAGAGAAAAACTTTCTAAAAGAAAAACGCAATGCGCGCCTCGAGACCTTTGATTTTTTTGAATTAAAAACGATTTAGGAAAATGTTACCGTTTATTCAACATTTCACTACTTAGGGTTAGATCACGCTCAATTTACCTCAGTTACATTGCTTGAGTTCTGTCACCTTTTAGCGTTCCTACTTGCTATATACTATTAAAGGTTTCTAAACTATGGCGTTTCTGACCATTTAAAACTTTAGATAGTAAATACTACTAGTCCGCGTTAGGTATAAAATATCGCTTTGGGTATATCAGGAATATTTCAGCAATCCATTAAAGAGCGTTTTCTCTTTTCCTACTTTCAGAGATGATTTATTCGTTAGCACAATTTTTATTGAGTTTTTATTACTTGTCTTTAATACTTTTTCATTTCTTTTGGGTTGAGAATAGGCATTTCGAAGACTTGATTCATTAGAATTAAGAAATAGACAAAACTTCTTAAGACAGAAATACCTGAAAGAAAACCATTTATGACCAAAAAATGTCGGAAGATCTTTTTTCTACGAACTTAGGTGTCATCTTAATGGATCAGGTGTCAGATTACAGGATGACAGGCTTTGATGTTATCGTTGGGGTTGGCGATGACGACGATCGTAATCGCAATCGGATCCATTAGATCGCCAACGACGTTTAAACCATGCAGTCTGGGTAGGTGTCGATGCCATACATACAATGTATATGTATCGATTGAAGTGACTGTGGGCATATGTAATATTAGTAGTTGTGGTGATGATAATGGTACCACATAGCGGACAGATGATTGACAGAGAATAGTCGGAACACTACGGAAAAATAGTAGGGTTACAAGGGTTTTACGAAGTCAATGGAGGAAAACCGAAAGGAATCAGTTCAGCAGGTATGTTACCCGTTTTCTAAGTGAACCTCTCATTTTTGTATTTGGCCATTTCATTTAAAACGCCGTAGTTTAAGATTTCCTTGTTTGCGTTCATGCGTTTCTTATTTTTAAAACTGTTCTGAAAATGGCAGATTTCAAACAAAAATAGCTAAAAAATCAGATATTAGTAATCTTTTTTGTTATATAAAACGACCAAGTTACCGCCGATTTAAACCCCACTCCTTATTTTTTTGATGAGCAATCACGTGGTTATCTCACAATTTATTCACAAAAAAGTGACTTATCGGCGAATTTCGCCCTCATCTGACCCTGGAGGGGTCGAGTTGATTGTGATCTGGTTAGCCAAACACCTCCGTAACCCCAACAGAAATGTCATAAAGAGAAGGCGATTGCACCAGTTCGGGTGCGGTTTATCCAATCTCTTGTAAGGCGTGAGGAGACGAATACATTGGCGAAACGGGCAGACCACTCTACACCCATATAAGAGCACCTAGTAGGTAAACTTAAACTCAAACCAAACATTCCACTAGGCGAGCGTAAGACACAGAGACCGAACGGATAAAATTTTGAAGAAGAAGCTAGCATCCTCGTACAGGAATCTAGAGCATCTTCGCTTGAAATTTCGAAGTATTTTGGATAAGTTCCGAGAATTCAAAAAAGAAACGTCGGTAAAAATGTATCGCTATCATGCTTGGTCTTGTGCGGTATTTAAGACTGATATTCTAACGTGGGACAGACACATGATCCATTCATATGAACTCTGAGCGTTTGCTCTCCACGTGAAATGCTGAATGAGAGACTCATAAAAAGCTGTACCTGTGCGAAGAAGCTATTTTGTTTTCAATGCTATTGGAATTTTGATTTCGTTTTTTTTGCTGTTTCGGCTACGGTGACGTTTGATTGGGTACAATGCAGTCAACCAGAGCTTTCGAGGCACCGAAGGAGGAGAAATCCGCCGAGATGTCAGCTTTTTTTTCATGAATAAAGAGTAAAATAACCTCATGTTTCTCGTCAAGACTTCAGTGAATTACTTGAGCGCCTACGATAATCACAGTAATCCTTCAATGATTGGAGTTGTTCGCAAGATTTTTCACTCACCAGGTTTCATCATATAACCGGTCATGTAATAATTCATATGAGGAATTGGACACGGCATCGATGCTGGAATTCCCATTGGTGGCATCAGACCACTTGAACCTTAAAACGAATCCGGATCCATTTAAAATGATGGTGACAGTCTTTTTTTTTTCAGAAACCTTTGCCATTATCATGGATTACCTGGCCTTTTCCGAGGAAAAAAATGTTTAGACACCAAAATATTCACCACTGGTACTAACGGCACCCTAGTTCTCGTTTTCTAAGCTTTTCATACACTACTGAATTTTTTTTATTGCTTATTCTCATAATTCTTTTTGATCTCTAAATTTGCCTCTTTTACATTTCAGAAAGAAGTAGCACTGTGCTACAAAATGAAATGGAAAAGAAAATACTGTGGTGAAAGCGAAGGTAGCAGAGTGGTTAGAGGAGCCCTGCTTTACAGACTGGGTCGGTCACCGGTCGGTTCGTATCCGCACCCAGCACTCACAAAGACTTCCATTCCCTCGGGATCGGTAAACTGGGGAGGATAACAGCAGGTACCTAATACAGCGGTAGTGACCGAAAGGTATACATTGCATAGGCCAGATTTGTATTCAGTCAGTTCTAACGGTGCTAGTTGAAAGCATGTCGTATCCCTTAGGGATTGATCAACTCCAAACTCTTCATTAAGTAATGACGGTTTCATCACCGTCGTTACTTAATGGAGAGTTGCTCGAATAACATGAGCTATAGGTGTTAGCAAACTTTATCTCATCCAATGAAGTCCATTATAAGTTGAGACATTGAACTTGTTATGGAGGATAAAATCGATATATTCGCTGGTCCCGCAAGTCATCGTTAACCCAGCTCTGCATTGAATGGCCCATACGGTTCTTTGAATGAAGTGAATTGCAAGAACGAATGGTAGAATGGTATTTCACAGCCATACTAAGCTAATTCTAAATAAATTATCTGCTCAAATCGCTCGCGTCGTGATTTCTTACTCAGGCGTTATTGTACCAAGTAATTTGAAAGCGTGAATAAGCTACTGTATTGTTACTGTAATCGAAAAGATGAGAAGCGAGGGAAATTTCTCACCGATGGAGCTGCTTTGCGTCAATCCGTTGCTTCCACGCCAAATGTTGAACGATGTTTGCAAGCCGTAACCACCTTTCTCATCAAAAATGTCAACACCGAACAGTTTACAGTCATCACGTTTCATCTGGAAAAGTCTTCCTTGGAAAAGACTTGAAGGTTTTATTTCCCATGTCTTAAGAAAAATCTCTAATTGTTGCCTGTTTCCTGATCAGCGGTAATACACTGACTGTCGGCACCGAGGCAAAATGAAAGTTAGTTTTCAAAAATGCAAAAAATACTTTTTAAAACTTTTTTCCCACTTCGAGAATTCCTATTCAGCTAGGTGTTTCAGGAGTTTTCCGCTTTGTGCTAAGAGATCCAACAAATAATTGATATTGTTATCTGTTCATTTTTAAACGACGACAAGGCATCAATGTAGTGAATGTTTTACTCTTTTTGAACTTTTTAGAGCTCTTTACTTTTCTGCCTCTCTTTCCACTTTTTAAAGCTCTTTCCTTACTTTTTAACCTCTCATACCTTCATCTTTTGTAGGATAACCACACATAAAAATAATGTCTACAATATCGATAAAACTATCTGAGGAACAGGTGAACGAACGACCCACATGGTGGAGTGGTGAACGCTTTAGCTCCCGGAAAGGGTAATAGGGCGTTCATCATTCCCCACTGCAGGCACCTGCAGTTCGGAGTTTTGCAAATATCTCAGCACCACTACGGTTGTAATTGTCAGTTTTTTATTTCTACTTAAATAAAAAGCTTATTAACGACGAAGAATTTGTTAAGTGTGAAATTTTACATTTGAACTGAAACTAAATTTCAAGTTTAATGCTGAACATTTCGATTTTGAATACATTACAATAAGTCAAAAATACCACTTAATCGCTGTTAAGTAGGACTTTACCTGATCTAAAAAACGAATGTAGTCGGAGGCGATTCGTAACGTATGGATTTTGCTCATTTTATCCGATGGCATAGATGGAATGATTTTCCGGAGTATTGAGAACGCATCATTCAATTCCTAAACTTTCCATCATTCGCAAGGAAAGCAACGAATAACAAAGTGAAGTCTTGTTTTGAAGGGATTTCAAATCAGTTAAAAAACAGCTGATTTTCGTGCTGTTTTCGATTTGTATTTCTTTTGTTGCATCCTACATCTAACGATCGATGACAAAGCCAACAGTGAAAGCTTTGATGAGAAAGGACTAGAGTGACATGCTAAATTTGCCAATAACATCTAAGAATTAAATAATGCTCACAGTCTATTTGCAGCCTACTACAATTTTTTTAGGGCAGGGTATTACGTGAAATACAACCACAGCGATGCTGAGATATTCAATATGGGTTCAGTGCCGATGTGGGCTCCCCAGATTAATCCCGTTGACGGACGGGTGATTGCTAATGGTACTGATCGATAGAAAACTAACTGAGAAACAGGAGAAACGAAGGACCCGCATGGTGTAGTAGTGACCGCGTTGGCCTCCGGAAAGCGCAATTGTGTGTTCGTTCCTTACCGCAAACACTTGAGGTGCGGAGTCTTGCAAATATCTCAGCATCATTGTGCTTATAGGACTTAAATAGCTTAAGTACAAAAGAATTTAAAAGAACTGAAAGCGGACTTGATATTCGAAAAACCAGAAAAAAATTGAAGTCTGTAAATCAAGAAAACGAAGGAGATTGTAAAAGAATCCGTGGAAGACAGCTCTCTTGTCCAAGTATCAACGAACTACTACTATGTTTCAGTAAATCTAAAAAATTCTTCACAAGAAAATTTTTTGCTGTGTTATATTTTCAATTCTCTGCAAATGAGAACATTTTCCAGGCGAAGTGGAGGCTGGCTGGCGGACGCTAAACTTTCCCAGATAGTGCTCGGCACTAAGAATAATGTGCTTTTTCTCAGACCGCATTTACAGCCAGTACTAGTCATAAACGATAAGTCGTTTGTCTCTTTCATTTCTCTCTTGGTCATTCGCTTTCTCTGATCTCCTTCTCTGCCTGTTCTCGCTTCTACGTTTTCTATCTCTCAGTGTTGTCCTCATTCTTCCGTTCTCTGCTCCCCTCATTCTCTCTTCTTTCACAACACTACCGTAATCCCATCAGAGGTTTTCATTTCTTTAGTAGTGTTGCTAAATTTAGATTCGTACGTAATAGGGACTCTTAACTTAGCGATTTCTTCTACTGCATTTGCTCATGCAATAGCAAATTTTTTTCCGTAATGTCTGTTGTTCAGAATGATCAGCTATTATGACCAGCTGAAAAGAAATAGCCAAATAATAATTCATAATCTTTGCAATGCTTGTTATTTGTTTCATACTCATTTATTTCTATCACCTTTTTTGCCTTTTCATCTTTCATGGACTTTTTGAAACAATTTACGTAAAAATGAGTTACTAAAGAGTGCAGGAGAACATGAGTTGGGAAACCTTTAAGAGACATCAAACCAGCTCCTTGGTCACAGCCTAAGTGTCATTGACTTGTTTGATTATAAAATTCTTCCGAATCATGCTAGAAACAAGCGCTAATGATTCCACTGCGTCATGAAGGTTACCGATAAACAAACGATGTCTTGAAGGTGAAGATATTCGTTTAAATCCTTGAAGAACCTTCCATATTGGAGATCCAGTAAAATATGGCTTAGGTAGTAAGCATCGAAAAGCAAGCACATAAGAAGAAGAAAAGAGGTGGACAAGAAAACGAACCAGTTGATCCCGAAAGAGTCAAGAGAACCTTAAAAGGGACCCCAACAGAGATGGGCTTTTGCACTCGTTGTAAGCGTATAAAACCAGTTGCATTCATAGCAACTGGTTTTAAACGCTTATTCATTTATAAAACTAGTTCTACAGTGATATGCACATGTCTGAAGTCAAAGATAAAAGTGTTGTCGAATCGGGCCACCTCCTATTGACGATGACTGTTGAGAAGGAACGAAGCGAACGAGGATGAGGTGGAATACACACGACGTGTGAACAGGGATTATCTCAGGAATTACGTAGTACTGTTAGTTCAAGATCATTAACGTTGCTATTTCTATTCATCATCATTTTCTTGGGGCTATTAAAGTCACTATTGCTGTTAACATAGTTGTGAACGAAAGAAACTAGCCGTTTTCAATGCAGATTATGGATTTTTCCGCAAAAAGTATTTCTTTTCTTGTTGTGTTTTTTTTAACTCAGTTGAAAAGTTTCTTCGACACAGATGTTGGGCCAACGACTTTTATGCCTTAAACGCCTTCTGTATCGAAAAAAAAACAGCTTAAAAAAAAAGCAATTGCTTCTTATAGAAGTCACTGTTATTCAAAGATATTTCTGCCCATAAAAAAGATAAAACTCTCGGCGTTGATCAATCCCTGAGGGATGTGCCATGCATTCGAGTTCATTAAGCATCGTTTGGAGGTGATTGAATGCCTATTTGGCCTTTACAATGACTCGCGGTGGCCTACCGATGTATCGAGGCAGTGCTGCTATCCTCCTAGACAAGCTTGGTAGCAATTTACCTACTTCAGAGGATGAAAGGCTTGGTGGGCCATGGGCGCTAGGATTGTTTCCACGTGTGTGTCGCAGTGGCGCCTCCAACTACTCAAACCTCTGCCCATATAGAAGAAATTTTAAAAATTTCTTCTAGAACATTAAGCCTTTTTGCACTAAAGATCTTTCAGTGAAATAAAAAATAAGGAAAGATAAGGAATAATTTTCAGCAACTATTTCGATTTAACTGCCGAAAATATCGGCGTCCATTACTATTTACAATCGGTAATAGGAAGCTCAGGTGATCAAGTACCACAGCTGGTCACGGTCATTACGAGGGCAGACAAACTCACCAATAGGGTAGTTCCGTCCCGCATGGTGTCCAAGGAATCTCTCATTTCCAGAAATAAAAAAATTGGTAGCAGACTTGTCTGGCACAAGCCGACTCCATCTAATTAACGTTGGCTCCAGTAGGACTACCTCAGCACTCGAGAGAGAATCAATTCAACCAGCATTCAAAGACATTTGTGACGAAGATGAAAGCATCCTCAAACAGCCGAGGTCACAAGCAAGAAAGTTCGAAAACCCTAGTGGATGGTGGATGCGGGGAAATGAATGGAATACTAGAAGGGCTCGGAACCGTGCAGTGTGATGCAAACTAGTAGCGGGTCGTATAATAAAGAAAATAAACGACTTGAAGAAATATTGTCATGAAACACAAAACAACAAGAACAATAAATAGAAATAGTAATAAAAGTGCTAAAAAGGCTAAAATTGGTCCGTATATAATGCTGAGATATTTTCAAAACTCAGGACCGCAGGTGTATGCGGTGGGGAACGAACGCGCGCTATTGTCCTTACCGGGGAGTAGCGCACTTCATCACCACACCATCCGGGTCCTTCGCTTTGCCTGTCTCTCAGCTAATAGAAATAGTAATAAGGATGCTAAAAAGGCTAAAATTGGTGTTATTGGAATGAAGATATTTTAGACGAACACAGTGTAAGGCAAATAGGATGCGCATAGTGTAGATGAAAAACAAACATGTCAGAAGTAAAAACATGGAATACTATTACGTAATGCTTTACTTTTCTATTTACTGTTTACTACAATTTTCACGGCAGGGTATTACCCGAAATCAACCACAACGATGCTGAGATCTTCGCAAAACATGGACCTCCGGCCAGATCGAACCACGATTTCCCTTTCCGGGAGCTTGCGCATTACACACTGCGACACGGAGACCCTTGCTCTGCGTTTCTCTCAGCTTATATATATATACAAAATAGATAGCTTATATATCTCGTTATAATGATTAAAAGATGCAGTATCACACTGTGTACAGAAAAAGCATTCTATATAGAACAAGATAGACCAAAAAATGAAACACAGACTTGAAATGAAAATCTACCAAAATAAAAGAAACATATTTGCTACCACCTTCGTTCGTTGTCGCTCCCTTTTATTGGCACAAACTCGTTGCATTAAACTGTCCTCCTCGTTTTTTACTGCCTTTCGTGGATTTTTTCGCTTTGGTGCCATCTGAAAACTGGAAGAGTTCTCTCCATTTTCTTTTCCATTTTTAAAAAAAAAGCTCTCGAAGCAATTTTGCTTACAAATGGATCATTGTAATTAGCATTTAAGTCCATATTAACAAATAATATTCGGCAAGTTCATAAAAAATAGCGATAGTAGGCGTGGTTTTCACGTGCCCTTGTAATCGAGGTCCTTAAAAGTTATGCAAGCAAACCACTGAGCGCAGATTTAGTTAGCACTATACTAAAAGCAATAAAACCATAGAAGACAAAAGTAAGTCCCTGAAAAAGTATTATGGTCCGAATTTTTCAAATTTGTAAACTCCTAAAAAATAAAAATGGCTATGCGAACTCATATTTATCAAACAGCAAAAGCATGTTTAAGAACCCAAAAGAGGTTAGAGAATGGAATAAAGAGAATGGTGAAGGAGACAAAATCAGCGTTTAGATGAAACTCGATTAAGAGCAGGCAGAAGAAACACTTCCAAAACACTCTATGGGAAAGTGCAAACAAGAAAACGAACGAAAACGGTTGAAAAAGCAAAGAAATCGCCGTCGGGAAGTCTATGAAGTGTTCCTCTTTCACGTAGCCAGAAGAAAACATTCACATTCGACGGAAAAATTGATACTTTACGACAAACGACGATAGGCAATGCTTGAGCAAAAGTTTACATCGAAAACAGTAGGCGAAGTTCCATAGAAATAAAAATACAACCGATACACTCAGTTTTCGAACCAAAGAGTTCAGTCAGGAGAGGAGTAGTTTAAAAAACTGATAAAATACGGTAGCCCGCCTATGGACAGTCAATATATAGCCAAGCTTGCCATTTACTGTGAAAGCCAACACTATAAAACTTTCAAGAGCTCTGGTAAAAGCCGTTTTCTATCAGCTCTTTAAGCACATCAGCGATCGACTGCTGAGAAGAAATCCAGCTGCTACAGAAAATTTACTCAGAAGATTCTTGTGGATTTGCAGTTGCTTGGAATAATTCGAATAGCAAAGCTTTCTACTATCAGCTAAGGATGTGGAAATCGAATACTCAAAATTGATGCACTGCTTTTAAAGAAATAATGGGTCAGAATAGGGTAGAAAAGAGCAAGAAAGTAAAAAAAGTATGAAAACGCAAAAAACTTTCATTTACCATTCATTTATTCATTTATTTTATTTTATTTTATTTCATTTTTATTTTATTTATTTGCTTTTATTTACCAGAAATTTCGAATTAAAACTAGTTCAAGGCACCTGTTTGAGATTAGTTGTAAGGAGACTTTTCAGTCAATTTTAGATTGAACTACTATATTTAACTATAAAACCTATTGTTACAACTGCTAGCATTACTACTACTACTCTGACTGCTACTATAACAACTACTTCTAACAATATAACAAAACTTTAACAACAGTAGTAACTATAATATTTACTTAAATACTTGCATGACCCCTACTCACTGGTTGTGGGGCCCCAGTATAATTTCCGGAGTTTTGCTGGTCTAACCACTGTGGTTCCCTGCGGTCCCGGGTCACCCTGGACAAAGTTTGCCTCAGGTCATTACCACAATAGGCACTCGCCACCTTTGTGGATCAGATGGAGATTTCTCACCGATCCTGGTATTGGTTCACTCTTAGCTAAGCTTCCTGAAACGGAGGTGTGCTTCTCAGCCTGGGAGACCCTGCCGGGGTGACGAATCGCCTTGCTGTACATCGTAGCCCGACACCCAGGAGCATATCCTAGCCACGATGAGGCTGTAAATCGTTGAGGGGAGTAATTACAATTACAATAATATTAGTAATAAAGAGAATGGATGAGGTCTCTCATATCGAACAGGAAAATGGAAATGTCTCTATTATTTGCGCTTCCTAGGATTATTAATTAGGTATTATGCGTTGGTCTGTTGTCGCTTGAATGATGGAGCGAATTTAAGAATGATCATTTATCATTCTATATAAAGTTGATGTAAGCTTACTACGGTACAAAACAAGTAGAACCGTCACTCGGTATTTTCAGTAAAAGTTTGGCCGAATTTTGATCAATCATACGGAGAAATTTAAACAAATCGATATTTTTAAACAAGCTTTCTCGACGACTTCTGCTGCGGACTACGGTAATTGTTGAGCACGAGAAGGGTGCAGTGGACGAATCGTCGTGTTCGCCGGGAACGGCGGCGTTTGCGTCTCAGCAACAGTCCGGACGGATGGATGGACGGACGGACCACGCCTCCGTCAGGCCGGTGACGACGGCTATTAGTGGGCTTTGTTTATAGATTGATGACACTGATACTTAGTGAAGTAAGTAAGGAGCCGATTTGAAAAATGATCCGAAAGTGGACTCGGAAAACTCGTACGAATCGCTTCCAATCTCTTAACGGCGCTTGTTGCCCTTCATTTTCTTGCCATGACGATCAACGCTATTGTGGATCAACGTTTACTAGGTAAGCAAGCTGATGTTCGTTAAAATACTTGCCCAGTATCGTAATGGTTTAGTACGTTTATTAGTCTGTTAAACTGTTATGGTGTTTAACACTACGCTTCAGAGAAAAGGTTTCTGAAGTGCTTTTGAGAGTGCTGAAGGCATATTGGATGGTTAAGTTAATCATGACCGATGTGGACTGGACAGTAGGCTTATAAAAATAACTGAAATATATGAAATGACAGCAAAATGCCTTTAGATTCATTTTTCTCATAGTCGACCTTTCTTATCCGTCTCCTTGAGGACGTTCATCAAATTTCCTTAACGTGTTGAAGCTTCAGAGTTTATAGTTTTATTCTGAAATTTTCTGACGAAGATTCGTATTACGAAGAATTCTCTAACCTATGGAAGTCAATATTGTTTTTTTGTCGGTCGTAGGGCGAATATCGATAACGACTTCGTCTTACTCATAATATTGATCGAACGACTGTTGTAAAGTGAACATTTATGAAATGAATAATGGCGATCTCGTTTTCGAGTGACTACTGAAAGCTTCTCTGGGCGGTAACAGCCTTAGTTTCGCGCATTCTAGGGGTTTGTGAGCAGTTGCTTACGCCATTTCTCAAACGGCAACTTTAATGCGGACCAATTTGCTCTACAGTTCAACCAGCAGTTCTTCCTTGTTTCGCTGGCAAATCAATAACGGACTCATATATCTTCCAAACGGAACAAAAAAGGTAAGCGATAAAGCGGTCGGTGTTAAGTGTTCCCTGAAAGATGCGCCATGCAGGCGGTTCCACTCGTCGTATTACAGATGTGATTAAATGCATGTATGACCAATGCAATGACTTTCAGTGGCCTACCGTTGCACCAACCAGTGCTGACATCCTCCTGGACAACATTGATACTAGTTTGCCAAGCCCAGAGTACTCAGAGGCTTGGGAGCTTGGGCGCGAGTTGAACTAAAAATCGATCCAGTATAAATCGCAGGGCACCTCTAAGCACTGCCCTACACGTATCCATTTTTATAACTGAAAATGGTCTAACAAGGTCAATTAGAAGCGTTGAATAATATTTGTACGATGCCCCAAAGTTGAAAACCAAATAGCACCAATATTTGAGGCTTCCTAAAAAAGTGTGCAGAATAGCAGAGAAAAAACACGGCGCTTTATAAACACTTTACCAACTCAACACGAAACTTTAGTATAACGGATAGTGCATGTTAAAAAAACAATCACCGTGCTAAATCGTCCTGAATAAGGTTAGTGGACAAAAAGAATCACACTGTAGCTCGAACAGACAGCTTTATCTCGAGCTGCTATCATCCGCCTCATCAACTGCTTGCAAACAGACACGAGGCACACCAGTTAGATTCAGCATTGATTCACGAGCCGACAGCACACGATTCGCTTCTGATTCCAGGTGGGCGGCCTAGGATTACAGGATGAAGTTAAATGTAAGACATTGGTAGAAAATGACGGCACTTGCACTGATTAGACCGCAACCATCCCCTAGTCGGATAGATATTCTATCTGATCAGCAGATAGTGATATCTTAAGGATACTTATCATACCTGTTGGCTTAGTGTCCTCAGTTTGTTTACGGTGATGTACTGCATCGAACAGATGTCAGCGATGCACAATTCACGATTGATATTCTTCTTATGGATTTCTCGTTGCAAATTCGATACCTAGACTTCATATGGGCGGACGAAATACCAAATGAAACAAGCAAAGAAGGTACCAAATTGAAAAACAACTAAATAAAACCACAAATGGATAATCTCCAGTTACGAATGGCCTGGAAGGAAACCAATTAAATGGCTGACCTCCTCTGCGCGAATGCTGTTGAGGTGCAGCTGGGCTGTAAGCTGGCCACTGGCTTCTTGCATTTGCTGCTGAACGGTGTCGAAATCGTCTTGTAAATCCATGCGAAGACGCTCGGCCTGTTAGTTGTTTATTATTCGTATAACGTTCCACATTTCTTGTTAGCTATTCAATTTTTCCGCTTATTTACATAATAATTGAAAAATCTCAACCAGAAAGCCTACTATTTACTACGTTTTATATTTTTTTTCCAGCTAATGGACTATAAGAGCGTGTGTGGCGCGGTGGTCGGAGGCGTCCTGTAAGACAAACAGGGGAACGATCTCCGCGCCCGTGGCCCACCAAGCCTTCCATCTCTCCGAGGCCGGCAAATTGGTACCAGACTTGTACGAGAGGATAGTAGCACTGGCTCTATACATCGGAAGGCCACTGTGAGTCATTGTAAAGGACAGATATGCATTCAATCACCTCCAGCGATGGTTAATGAAGTCTAATGCATGGCCCATCCCTCACGAATTGATCAACCTCGAGAGCTTTATACTTAGTCCTTTAATGGACTTATCTACTATTGGAAGACCAGGATCTGGTGAGAAATGTACATTGAAACATTTGCTTCCTGTTCACTTTCTGTTTACGACTCAGCGAATGCGTAAGTAGGGTAGGCCAAAATTTGATAAGCAAACGGCCTCACTCACCTTAATTCTGGCCTTTCTTTCGATTTCCAACTCATCCTCGAGCTCTTCGATTCGCTTGATGAGCTTCCAAATGTTCGCCTGCAGTTTAGCGATCAGATTCGCGTCGCTGGCGCCTTGTCGTTTCAGTTCTCCGATGTTTTCCTCGCGTCTACAAGTGCAACGTCAGTAACGATCGGACTTTCCGAAAGATCGTTTCTTGGAACATCCAAATTCAGCCGCACATTTTTCTTTTATCACACTGCAGTGGCTCACTCACCGTTTACAGTCGACATCTAGTTGGTGTTTCTCTTTCTGAACAATCTCGAGCTGACCTCGTAGCGATTTCAGCTGTGTTTCGAGTTTTTTATTGGCTGGAAAAAGGAAATATAACCACGTTTTCCTTCTACGCTGAGCTCCTTTTCACTAAACTGTCCCACGGCAGGGCAGCACCAAAAGTGGCGGTGTGGTAGTTTTGAACAAATTTTTCCAGTCTCAAATCCACACAGTTTGGACGGAAATTAACGAAGTACAAAAAGTAAGCTTCTTCCTCTAAGGCTTCATTCGTTATCGAAAAATACTTTGAGAAATTCAATATTTTATACGAGTTCGTTGGACCGAGGGCAAAATAGCTAGAGAACGGAAAAAATCTCTGCGTCTCCTCATTACCCTTGGTGAATTCACTGTTGTGCCTGACTTCCGCCGAGAACTTTTCTTCCAGAGATTCCAAATCTTCTTTCATTCTACTTCTTTCTTTTTCTGCTTTGTCACACTTCTCTTGCAAAACGCTAAGATTAGCCATTAAGTCTGAATTCGCCATTTCCTATAAGAAAAAATCCTTTAGGATTAAATGGATGATAATGTGAATTAATCGAAGCATGCTATTGATAAAATGAATATCTTTTATGGGACAACTTTAAAAGTGGGATGTGGGAAGCAAGATGGTGGAAATGTCGTTTAATAATACGCTTCTGGTTTAACCCCACAACGAGCCAAATGAGCTGTTTCCCGTTACGCTAGGTTATCCCAATGGATTTGCTTCTGCTGCTCGAACATTTTGCTATTCCCTTTGAATGTCTTTGAACGTTTCTTAAGTAGACTCTCGCTGAAATACTGGAGTAACTGTGATTGGACATGCCTAGATCACCAGCACAGGTAGTCGCCAGTCTTTGCAGATCGGAGGGAGCTTCGCAGGCAACTGTTATACTAGTTTCCAGCCGCAATTTATAAACTAAAGTGATTTTTGGTGATCTAAATGTAACGGATGTTATTTCTTCATAAATCGATTATATTGTAGACATGAAATTACTCTAATACGGTGGATTAAAGCATTTCATTCCTACCAACTCTAAAATAATCCCGCATAAAATACTGCAAATGTTGTGATGTATCTCAATGTTGTTTAATTTTTAAAAAGTTTTAAGTGACTCGTTATACCCATCAAAAATAACTGATAGCGACAACTGGGGAGAAAAACGATAACAAATGACATGTTCGAGTATTGTGTAGCGCAGTGGGTGGAGGTGGGCTGCAGAACACACTGGATTGATCGTTGGTTCGATCACGCACTCTGGGTGGGCTCACTAAGCCTTCTATGCCTTTGGGATCGCTAAGCTGGCCCCAGACTTGTCTGGAAGCTTTGATTTCATTGTATAGGACAGACACGATAATACCAGTGGAGTAGAATGCATGGCACATCTCTCATGGATTAACCAACACTGAACACTTTAGCTTTAATGATATATTCCTTTAATCCATTCGCAATTCTACACCTCAGATTCAACATCTTTACTGGTATTTAGACCTAATTAATTATTTAGCTTATTGTATGACGACTTTCAAACGAAAAAATAGACTTAGCAAATGAAAAGCACCTGGGCTTTCTTCTGATTAATGAGTTTCTTATTTTCGTCCTCTTGCAGCTTTAGTTTGGAGGTGACTTGGTCGACTAATTGTCTCGATCGGGTTGCTTCAGCTTCGATATCCATCATCATTTTCTTCTCCTCAAAAAGGCGTCGGTTTTTTGAACCAAGCGTCTGTTTTTACTTTATTGATGGTATAAAAAACTATTTTTTTTTTCACTATTTTGCTGTGTTCGTTTGGTTTCCCGAGGATAACGCTCACTATATCGAATGAGCTCACAGATCGCGCTCACTGAAAGATCTCAAACTGGTGAATAATAGCAGGGCTAGCGAGCGCTTTTTTCTGTGTTGGAGAGAGTGTTGAATCCGGACCAAATGGGTTAAGCATTAGCCAAATGTGACCCTGCGCTTCTTTTAGAAGGAAAGGATTCAGATCTGATCTCTGCGTTGATGAGGCTTATAGCCTTTCAATGCGCTTCCTCTTATTTACTGACATATATTACGACGCATTTGAATGCCAGAGGTTTATGCAAGTACATCAGGTACTATCTGCCAAAAAACCACCCTATAATCTAGGGAAGCGTGAGCATACTACATGGAAGGCGGTTCAACGTCGAGACCAACACATAAACTCCATGTCCACTCCGAAACAAGCTGTGGTTACAAAAGCTCTCATTACAGAAATCAACAAGGTACCCATGTGTACACTCCCGTCAAAAACAATGGAGATGAACTAGTGATGGTATTAGGTGTTCTTTTCAAGGAACGACACCCATTAGACAGCTCAGACGTGCTGCGACAAAGACAAATGGGGACTTTGTTGATGATCAACAAGTTCACTGCTACCCGACAATGACTCAAAGTCGGCAAACCTTGTTACTACTTGGCAAAAACATTAGTGTTATACCCAATAGTCTCCGAAAGGGAAGGCACAACCAGAAAGGAAACCGGGAAGCATTTCACCACCATAAAATCCGACCAATAAATCGCTTTATATCATTGAGTATTAATGCCTTGAAAAAGAATTTCTAGTGATAAGGAGAGTTATTGATCGGACAAGACTATCTGACGATGATTTAGTCAATCGATTGAATCGTCTACGAATTGCGTTTGCTTTTCGTTTCACGAGCAGAGCCTGGTCGTAGATCATTCGTAGTAAGGTGGAAAACAAAGCATTATCATGAGGATTACGTAGCTCATTTCTGGATGGTTCGTTCAGACAGCTGTATAAGATAATCTGGAAGAATCCTATGTAGTTTCTTCACTTCACACGTTACGAAGAACCGTATAGTGTGGTTCTCAAAACAATTTCAATTTGATCGGCGTTTACTCACTTGGAAAAACTTTTTCTCCTACACTTCCTTGATCGGCGTTGTAGGAAATCTGGAAAGTGTTCATCACAATCTGGCTCCACCACTTATGAGTCGGAGCGAGATTTGCAGCCTTAGGAATCGCTTCTTCCAGAACGACAATGTTTAGTAGCATTAGTATACCACAAGATGAGCTTCAGATGGAAATGTTGAACTCTTCAGTTTGAGTAACCTTGCCGGAGTATGACCTGACTGTTATAAATTGCAATTCGGCCAGTAATCCTTCTATAAATTATAATGAGGCTGGCAAACCATTGGAGCTGAATAAACCACTGATGAGTTGAACAATAGACAGACAACTTTCAGATAATCTTATTGACTATATCTGAAACTATAGGGATAGAAACCACTAGAAGTGCTTCAAGTAAAAAAAAAAACAGAATTTACTAAAGAAAGCAACTGTGTGATCGACTCTCGGCAAGAAATCGCCATTTGCTTTGACTTAGCAAAGATGTTAGCCTGTAGAAAAACTTCAACTAAACAACATCGGAAGGACTTTCTTATCATTGTTTGAGTTCAACGGATGGCACCGTCGACTGATTTATTGCCGCCATCGCCGTTACTTCGACAGAATCAATCACGGCGACGGAAGTTTCTCTATGTTTTTTCCTTTATTTTCAAATGATCAGTCGTAAAAAGGGATTATGACGATGTTGAATCGATTACGATCTAGTTGAAAGCCGAAATTTTTCATTTAGCCGGAGAAAAAACGCTTATCTTTCTTTCAAGGATTTTTTTAGCGCGATATCCGGAAGGACTTCCCAGTGTCTTAAAATAAACACGGATTGAGAGGCTTTTCTGTCCGAGTGATTGAGTTTTAATATCAAAATACTTTTTTTCGAAACTGCTGGAAATCACCAGAAACATTTTAAAAAGTTTAAGAGTTTACGAAAAAATCCGGCTCAAAACACACCTTTTCCTTCCAGTCTTCGGCTTCTTTAGCTTTCAGCTTTTCCAACTCCTTCAGACGTTTCGACGTGTCATCGACTTTTGCCGTCTCAGATTTTAGTAACTTATGCAACTCCTTAAAAATTCTTTACAGTCGCCTAGACTCAAAATCAAGAAGAGATTATATCACGAATTAAGCTAATTGTAATGTTTCGGTCAACTCCGAAGTCGATTTATAAGCGTCGGCCGTAGATAACTTTCTCGGTGGGATAAAATCAGCTCTACAAAATGACCCTTTTTTACAAAAACGAACAGGAAATGTACATCAATTTCGCGATTTCTCTTTTCCATGAGCAATTTTTCTCGTTCCAGGGCGGCTCGACTCTCCTCGTATTGATCGGTTTTCAGTCGTAACCCGTCCTCATAACGCTTTCTTTGTTCTTCTTCGAACTTCGATGTCGCTTCCATTTCCTAAAATTTGTAAAGGCAATTTTTTGATGTAGACTTCATTTCTTATTTTTAATTTTATTTTATTTGATCCGTCCTCAAGTCTACTGTGCGGATTCCAGCATTTCTCAAATTCGATTCATTTCCTCGCATCCACTGTCCACGAGGATCTTCGAACTTTTTACATGTGGCTTCGGTTGCTGCTTGAAGACCTTTATTTCATCTTGAATGGCGTAAAATGCTGATCGAATCGATTCTCCCTGGAGTTCTGAGATGGCCGGGTTGGAGCGTTCCCATTTGGAATGCAGGGAGTAATTTTTCTCAGAGCAAGGCGGGTGTACCATTTTCCCAACTCCGGAGGCATGTGAGGGGCCTGGTTAGCGGAATCGAACTAGCACCATACTCGTGACGACGGACATTACTACCACTGTGCTATCCGCTCCCTAGACTTTATTACTAAACGATACTACGAGGAATCCTAACAAACGGATAAAAATATTTTATGTTCCAATAACTGAAATAACTCCAAACGGTTTAACGCCTCATCGTGGTTGAGAGGTGTTCCTGGGTGTCGGGCTATGATGTACAGAGGAATCTCCTCTCAATCTCAATGGCATGGTAGCAAATCTCCCTCTAATCCATAAGGGCTGCAACTGCCTGTGGTAGTGACGACCTGGGGCAGACTTTGGTCAGGGTGTACTCCAGGTTACCACAATGGCTAACCCAGCAGGTTTCCGGAGAATGGAAATTATTCTGTGGTCAGCACGGCCAGTGAAGACAGGCCATTCAAGTATAAGTAAGTATGTATAATTGAGGTAACCGATTGAACAACCGCACCACTTGGGCCTAATTGGTCAATAACTATGGCAAAAATGATGAATCAGTGATAAATGAAGCACTCACCTTGACTTTTCGTTCCAATGCTTCCACTTCAGCATTCGATCTCATTCCTTTAAGTAATGGCCTCAGACGAGTGAAAAGTCGATACCATGGCCACAATCTATAATTGGAGCTCTTTCAGTTTGGAAAATGACAACAACTCTAAGCACTTGAAATGGCAATTTTTTGTAATCTTTTAGATATGAAAAACTCGCACTAATGTTAAACATAGCTATTGTAGTTTGAAACGTTCAGTAAACCGTGGAACAACTTATTATAATAATAATTTATCAATGAAAATGTTCAGCGATAATAGTAATAATAGCAGTGATAATATCAAAAATGGAAACAATGGAAACAATAACAACAATACAGCGTAATAATTAAAGAGCTTAAAACGGCTCTTGGCGTTGATCAATACCTGAGCGATGCGCCATGCATCCTATTTCATTACGCATCGCTGGAGGTGATTGAATGAATATCTGGTCTTTACAATGACTCGCGGTGGCCTACCGATCTATCGAACCAGTGCTGCTATCCTCCCAGACAAGTCTGGTACAATTTGATTTGCCCACCCCGGAGGGATGGAAGGCTTGGTGAGCCACGGGCGCGGGGATCGAACCCGTGTGTGTCTCGCAGGGCGCCTCCGACCACTGCGCCACGCGCGCTCTTAGCGTAATAGTAAGGTTTAGAAATAGTAGAATTAGAGAAGGTAACAAAATCAATGAAACGAAGGAAGTATTAGTGACTCGTGAAATTAATAATAATAATAATAATCGACGGTTTCACCATCTTCGCTTTGCTGATGACAGCGTATTTATAACACCAAACATTAGCCAAGTGGAACGTATGCTTGGCGACTTTGATAAAGCCTGTGGAAAGATTGGTCTTCGACTAAATCTCACAAAAACGTTGTTCATGAAGAACGGATTGGTTTCGCATACCCCATTCACGCTCAACGGAACGATTATTTCCGAATGCTCCAGTTATGTCTATCAAGGTCGGGAAATTAATATGGTGAACGACCTAGCTTCAGAGCTGAGCAGAAGAAAACGAGCGGCTTGGGGAGCTTTTAAGAGCATGGAGGATGTAGTGAAGAGAACAAAGAACATCCGACTCCGTGCCCACCTTTTCGACTCAGCGGTATTTCCTGCCCTAACGCATGCGTCAGAAACCTGGTCGCTGCGTAAGCAGGATGAAAAGTCTCTCAACGTTATCCAACCCGCTGTCGACAGGACGATGCTAGGAGTATCCCGTTCCACACAAGTAAGGGATGGGATCCGAAGTTTCGATCTGCGTCAACGATCAAAATCAAAGATGCCGTTCTGTACGCCAAACGGTCGAAGATAAGGTGGGCCGGACACGTAATGCGTATGAATGACAACCGATGGACAGGAGCCGTTAGTAACTGGATTCCTCGGGATGTCAAACGTACTGCAGGAAGACCACCGACTCGATGGTCAGAGCTCTCACAAAGAGCCTTGAAGAAAGGCATGATGCTCGACGAGTCTTTAGAGCGAGCAGAACCCACTGGACTACACTTGCACGCGACAGTGAAAAATGGAAGATTTACTGGCGCTCACTCGAGTCACTCGACGATCAACGGGACTACAGGTGATACAGGTGAATAATAATAATAGTAATAATAATAATAATGTGCTTATTAATATTCATGAAGTAATATGAAGTACGGTAGCAATCCAACAATGGCGTACACTTCAAAAAAAACTGTGAACTACGCAAAATTAAACCCATATACAATTCCTGTTCACTTGCACAAAACTACTACCCTAATTAATAAATTAAATAACTTCAAGAAGATGGGAAGAAAAAGAAAAGAGAACTCAAGCCTCGAACCTGAGAGAAATCCATTGTCGCACATTACTTTGAATTAAGACATAGACTTCCTGCTGTTTCAATAGACGCTGATATTGGCACTGAATTGTAGAGGCTCAGAAGAAATAATTTCTGGGTAACATTCTACAAAACCTACTGGCTTTTTAACACACTGATAAAAGGATTTCTTGACTTATACATTTACAACTGATGTTTGAATACTAACACGGTTCGTCGTTTTACAGGATTTGTCAAATAACGATCACTTTTTTGGAAGAATAACTTTTTCAGTGATATCTTAAACTATCCTCGCCCACGCCCTAGCAGTCGTTCCACAGGGAGTCGCTGAGCTTCATGATTCACGACTTCTCAGCGATTTTTGGTCATATGAACTTCGTTACATGAAGCCGTGGGCGACCAAAAACGGATTTTCCACGGTTCCCATTTCCAATTTAAGGCAACTTTTTCAAGCGAGAATTTAATGAAGAATTTCTGGTGGCAGAATTCTGAGCGCATCCCGTGGATAACAATGAGTATTTTTTTAATACAACACGTCTTTCACATCTACTGTGCGGAGCGCAGCACTTCTCGTATTCGTTTCGTTTCTTTGCATTCATCGTCCACGAAGGTGTTCCAATTTTTCACGTGTGGATTTGATTGCTGCTTGATGATATTAATTTCGTCATGATGTCGTTGAATGCTGGTCGAGTCGATTCTCCGTGGAGTCCTGAGATAGCCAGACTACAGCTTTCCTATTTGGATTGCACTGAACGAACTTTTCTCAGAGACGTCCAGTAGCAATTTCTCGACTCTGTAGGAGTAACAGGCTTGGTGAGCCTGGACCGGGATCAAACCAGCACCATGTTCGTGATGATCGGTATCTCTAACACAGTGCCACCCACTTTCTGGACAATGAACATAGGTGTAATTATTTCACATGGGTCGCCCTCACACTACTATGGGAATCCCATACTTTTTGCATTCGTTTCGTTTCCTCACATGCACCATAAGATTTTTCCATCTTCGCTACGAATGTCGTTGAGTGAGATTAATCTGGTTTTCCCTAAAACCCTGAGATAGCCATGTTAGTGCATTGATATTGGAGGAAGTGAGCTAATCCCATATGCTGTTTAATACCAATAGTAAATGCCACGACCAACTTTCTATTAACCTCGGCATTGATCAAGTGATTTTCTTCGTGTTTTTGTTGAGCAAACGCGAGGTGTTATTATTCTTTGTTCACGATTAAGCTGACGTTTCGGCGGATTCCGCCTTCCTTAGAGCCTGGAAAGGTCAAGTTGATAGCAATCCACTCGGCCAGACGCCTCCATAACCAAACAAAGAAACCCCAAACCAAGATTTCAATCACTTTGAACACAGCTCTGCACACTCACCGCTTCCTATGAGGTTTCCACTAAGTATGTCACGTAGAGACCAACCGCACAGAAATCACGTGGAAGTATAATGTGCCCCTCACATCAGAAAAGCAGTTTTATATACTGCCCTATATCACGCGTGATAATGAGGCATTCTTCCCTGCGGTTCATTTTCGGATTTCTGGAATTAATCCAGAGTGCCTCGAGAGCTTTTCGCGCCTGTGTTCTTGATTCGCGTGCGAGGATCGTGACACATACTTCGAAGTCGTCCCCGTTATGTCTCTGGGTCCTATGCGTGCCTAGCGGGGTATTTGGTCTAATTTTGCCGGCTAGGTGTTCTTTCATGCGGACACAGAGGGGTCTACCCGTTTCGCCAATGTATTCGTCACCACACGTTTTACAGGAGATCAGATAAACTATACCCGAGCTCATGCAATCACCNCACGTAGAGACCAACCGCACAGAAATCACGTGGAAGTATAATGTGCCCCTCACATCAGAAAAGCAGTTTTATATACTGCCCTATATCACGCGTGATAATGAGGCATTCTTCCCTGCGGTTCATTTTCGGATTTCTGGAATTAATCCAGAGTGCCTCGAGAGCTTTTCGCGCCTGTGTTCTTGATTCGCGTGCGAGGATCGTGACACATACTTCGAAGTCGTCCCCGTTATGTCTCTGGGTCCTATGCGTGCCTAGCGGGGTATTTGGTCTAATTTTGCCGGCTAGGTGTTCTTTCATGCGGACACAGAGGGGTCTACCCGTTTCGCCAATGTATTCGTCACCACACGTTTTACAGGAGATCAGATAAACTA